TATTTATTTTTCAGTTTTCAGTGGACACAACATCTTTATTTTATTTTTATATGGTGCTGAGGATCGAACCCAGCGCCCCGCGCATGCCAGGTGAGCGTGTTACTGCTTGAGCCACATCCCCAGCCCCAGCCTTCTCTCTCTTGAGCTTCCATCTGCATCTGCTTCTATAGGGGAAAAGGATGGGTGACAAACATCACCCATGGGCAACCCCATGCCAGGTGGAACCTTGGATGGACACAGGGAGATGGGTGTCCCAGTTCCTACTGCCCTTTCCCCACCCACCTTTGAGGTACAAGGACCAGAGACTTTCTCATTCTCTCCCTTTTCCCCACTCCCCAGCCCAGGCAACAATAGTTCATTCTGCCCCATTTTCACTACCACCATCATGAGGGAGGCCCCCATCTCTAGCCATCTGGATTCCTCCAGCATCCCCCAACCAATCCCCCTACTTCCTTCCTTGTTTATTCCTCCAGTGCAGAATTAGTTTATAAAGACCACAATCTCAGGAAGGGCATGATGGTGCACACCTGTAATCCCAGCAACTCTGGAGGCCAAGACAGGAGGATCACAAATTCAAAGCCAGCGTCAATAACTAAGCAAGGTCCTAAGCAACTTAATGAGACCCAGACTCAAAATAAAAAATAAAAAGGTTGGGGATGTGGCAGTGAGTTCAATCCACTGTACCCAAAACAAAAACAAATGAATAAAAAACCACAATCCCAGCTATGTCATTTCTATTTAAATCTCATCAATGACTTCATGTCTTTTGTCAGGCCACAATGGACACCCTCAGCTCCTCACAAAAATCTCTTCCCACTTTTAAGCACATGTACCTTTTTCCTGCAATAGCTTCCCTCAAAACCCCACTTTCCCTTCAGGTTCATCCATTGTTACTTCTCAGAGAAGGCTCCTCACAGCCATCCATCTCCTCACATAGTAACTGCTTGTCCCAGTGTCGGTGATCCCAGTTTCGTGCCCCTATGGACTCACGAAGGGCTGGGACTGTGTTTTATGCATCTTGACATTTCCAGGTCTATGATGGGAGGGCTCACAGTCTGCAGCTTAGACCAGCTGGTGAATGACTGCTTGATTAGTCCACAGGGGTGAGGCCAGGTCCTGGTGAGGAGCTACCTGAACTGGCCCAATGGTGGGAATGGCTCTCATAAGGAACTGACACTTGGACTGAAGGGTGAGAAGCAGTTACCCAGGCAAAGATATGGAGGTGGGAAATGTCCTGGCACTGAGAATGGCAAGTGATGTCTGTGAACATGGTGTTATAGACACCATGCAGGGGGATGGTCATATTCATGTTTGGAAGGGCAACCCTGACTGCCCTGTGGGGACAGATCATATGGGGATGTAGGATGGCAGCAGGGAAAAGGGGGGCTGTTGTAGTCCCCAGGTATAAGGTAATGGGACCTTCACTGGGCCAGGTGTGGATAGTGAAAATGGAAACAATGGGGTTTTGTTTCATTTTTTCTTTCTTTTTGGGTGGGTTTATGTGTCACTGGAAATTGAATCGAGGAGCATTCTGCCTCTAAGAGATATCCGCAGCCCCTTTTATAAAATTTGAGACAGTGTCCTGCTAAGTTGCCGAAGCTGGCCTTGTGCCTCTTGAGTAGCTGGGATTACAAGCATGCAACACTGCACCTGGTTAGCAATGGGGTTTTAGATATGTCCTGGAGAGGACAAGATTTCATAACTTCTTCTATAAGAAAAGGAAGAAACAAAGCAGTCAACCTAGAACCAGGCTCAGATTTTAGGTTCAGACAAATGGAAAATGGCCAAGCTGGGGATGTGGAATGGAAAGCAGATGCGGGACAGGTTTTCTATGAGGCGGGACATCCACTGGAGGGCTCCAGGAGACAGGGTGGGCTGAAGAACAGAAGTGTCTGACCCAGGCTGAATGCAGAACAAGTGGGAAGGAATGGGACTCCAGACACAGGTTGTAGAGGGCCCAGGAACAACTGTGATTAGGTGGTGAGCAGAGGATGAGAAACCTGCCATGGAGCAGCAGCTGGTGAGATAGTGAGAAAATCAAGAGTGCACAGTGTCCTGAAAACCAGGGCCCAGCAGTATCTCAATAAGAGGGAGTATTTTTGACTGTGTTGAAGTCAGCCACTGCTAAGAGGTCAAGTCAGATAAAGACTTGCAAGCATCCCTTGGATTTAAGCAACTAGGAGGTCAGTAGTGACCTTGAAGAGCTGTCCTGTCCAGTGCTGGGGGAGGAAGCCAGATTGCAGGGGTGGGAGGAGGAAGTGGAAATAACTTGTGCACACAACTCTTTGAAGAATGTTGGCTGTGAAGTGGGGGCTGGAGAAGGGTGTGGTTGAAGGAGGGCTTTCTGTTCTTTCAAAGATAGGAAAGACTAGAACCTGTTTGCTTGCTGATGGGAAGGAGCCATTAGGGAGGGAGAGGTTGAAGATGGGGAAAAAGAAAGGGATTGGAGGAGGGAGATTCCCCAAGGAGGGAAAAGAGATTAGTTTCCCAAATATGGCTGCACAATTGGAGGGGGCAAGCCAGGGCCTGTGTTGGGCTCTGGGGGCTCAAAACAGCTGCCCACTCTCCCAGGCAGCCAGTGTGAGTCACTAGGGGGGAAATAGCCCAAACTGGCAGTGTGGGAAAGGGAACTGGGCCAGTGAGTTCCTCTGGATCCCCAGGGCGTCAGGAGCAGGGCCCAGCCTGGGCTCCAAGCCCTGAGCCCTGAACCCCATGCTCTAAGCCAGACAAGGGCACAGAAAGATTGTCTCACCCTTTATAGGAGCAGGAATAGTCAAGGAAGCTAGAGTTTACTTTTGTTTTTGTCTACACAGCTCTGAGCCTATTTCTTCTTCAGCCCCCAAAGTGAGCCCAGCTCAAGGGTTTTTAACTTTTGGGGGGTAGGTGTGAGGATCCTTTCTATTCTTTAAAGACTGATGTGTTGGGAATTCTGCAGATCCTTACCACCTGGGCCCTCTGAGGTGTGGGTTCCCTATGAGCACAACATCCCACTAAGGAACAGAGGCTGAAGGCCCTGGGGGGGGGGCGGGTGGAAAATCGTTTCTCCAACACACAGCTGGTCTTCCTTGCCTTTGGATCCCTCTGCCTGTCCTGTGCTTTTGTCTTTGGCCTAAGGGGACACATCTCTAGGGAACCTGAAGATCTGATGACTAGCCCCCTCTGTTGAAGCTGCTGGAGAGGGCAGAACACTCCAGCTCGGCCCCCAACCTCACCTGACAGCTGACGCCTCTTGCTAAAAACAGCCGGCCCTGGGGGAATATGGGCTTTCAAGCCTCCCCGCCCCCCATGCTCAGGCAGGTATTAAAAAGGCCAAAACCGGGGCAAGCGGGTTGGACACCATGCTATTCACCGAGACTGCCCACTTCGTGGTGAATTTTCTTCTGTCCCGGTGAGGGGAACCAAGGGAGGGCAGTGGCGGGATAGAGTCCTGGCCTGGCAGCACGGTTGGGGGTTGAGGGAGGGGGTGCCCAGTCCGGAAAGGTTCCGGGGATCTTGGTGGGGAGGAATCTCTGACCCCGCTCCCAGTCCCTCTAAATCGACCAGGAGTGATCCCGACCCACGCCTCGTCTCCTCGGATCCGAGTTGGCTCCCTCCTCCGGTCAGTCGTGCCCTCCCTGGGTGACACTGTCCGGCTCCCCCGCAGGCGGCCCCGGGCCACGCCCCCGCACCGCCTGGACCAGGATCTGTGTTTCTGGGGCAGCCGGGGCCCGACCTTGCCGGAGCCGGCCGCCCGCCGCAGCCTGGGCGACTACTGGCTGAGCCCGCAGCGCTATCGTCCGCCGGGCGCTGCCTGGCGCTGGCCCGCGCGCAACCTGACGCTGCTGCCGGGGGCCACGGGTCTGGCGGACGTGCCGTCGGCTCGCTGGCCCAGCTGCTACGGCGCGCGCCCGCGCCTCACGTGAGCGCCCGCGGGAACCGGCCCTGAGAAGGGGCGGGGCGAGGCCTGAACGGGGGCGGGGACTGAGGAAGGGGCGGATCCCCAGAGTTATGGACCACCAACTAGGAGGGACGGGGCTGTTGGGGAAGGGCGGGGCTGTTAGGGAAGGGCGGGGCTGTTAGGGAAGGGCGGGACTGTTGGGGAAGGGCGGGGCTGTAAGTGAGGGGCGAGGTTAAGGGGAGGGGAGGGGCCCAGGGGAGGGGGCGGGCCCTGGGGGCGTCAGGAAGGGGCGGGGCCGGGTGGTCAGAGCCAAGACCCGCATTGCCCCTATCCTGTCTTATGTTCCCGCCCTCTAGGTGGAAACACCGTTGGCAGAACATTAACTACCAGTTCTTGGGCAAGAGGAAGAGACACCTAGTTCCCCTGCGTCCGTGAGAACTGGTGAGGGACAGGGCCAGAAGGGTGCGGTCTGTGGGCGGGACCTTGTGGAGGATGGGGTCGTGGGCGGGGCTTAGATGGATGTGGGGAAGAGCAAGGCAAAGCATCATATGGGGCCCAGCCACCTTTAGCCTTGAGGCTGGAGGACATGAAGGTGTCAAGGTGCGTGGGAGGGTTCCCACCGGCTGGATGTGGGTCCCTGCAGAGTTATCCTTTCTTGTCCTTTTGCAGCCACCACATATTTTTAAAAAGATTGGCAGATGTGACATTGAAATATCTATTCATCAGAAGACACTCAAACAAGTAGAGTCCCAAACATAATGCCAGTTCTGTGCCCATCATAGGAAGTTTTGGGGACCAGGATAGGTTGTTTTCTGACTACCAACTCAATCAGCCTCAGAGCAAGAGTGACTCCACCCCAAGGCCTAGTGATCAAACAGAATGAACAATGGGAAGGAAGACTGGGGATCTGGGAATCAGCTTGAAGGATGCTGTCAAAGCAATCATCTTGTGTGTGTCTGCATTCTTCACATTTCTATGCATCTCTAAAGTCAGTGCCCACCTCTAAGTAGAATTGTTTATCTGTGTGTCCATTTATTTACTCAACAAGGGCTTATTTGTCAAGGGCCTATTTTGTGGTTTGTGCTTGGTTTATACAATGTGTTAATCACTGGGTTCACATTGGTGAAATAAATGGTTGGGGCCCCTGCCCTCGTAGAGCTTACACTTTGGTAAGGAGGTGAGCCATAAAGAAGAGTTAGAGATAAACAGTGTGCTGTGTTGGAGACTAGGAGTGGGCCAGTTGCTACTTCATATGAGATGGGTGGGGACTCTGTCTTGCTTACAAGTCCAGAATAGTGCCTGACACATAGTGGAACTCAAAAATGTTGAAGGAATGCCTGGGCTGGTCAGGAGTTCCTCTCTGTGGAGGTACATCTTAAACTAACCTTGAAGGATGAGGATCCATTTCCAGCCCCTAAGAAGAGTATTTTGGGTGGAGGAAGCAGCTCATATCTGGTTGCTGACCTCTTGTCTACTATCATGGAGAATTCATGTTACAGAGCCTTTGTTCCTGTCTGTTGCCTCTGTGATCTTGGATGCCCTGGGGCAGGTTTAGACAGGGCCCCTCCAGGGTCCCTAAAAGTGAGGTTATTGCTGAGCTGATTCACTCCACTGGGCAACTCTGGCCTAACCAGCCCAGCCTGGCCTGGTCATTTCCCTGAAAACAATCTTTCCCACAATGGCATCAGTCTCATGATTTCTGGCTGCCTCCCAGGGCATCATCCTGTGGCCTGTAAGGAAGTCCTTTACCCTGGCTAACTACAGTCCCTGCTGAGGTAACCTTGGCCTTGTCCTCTCATTCGGCCTCATGGAAGGAGGGGTGAGATGGGCTAGGCCTGTAGCAGCAGGTCCTGCCTAGATAGAGAACACAGTAAAAACCTGACAGAATGAGGGTGACAAAACCTGGCAACCCCAGGCAAGTGAACTTCAAAAGACAGAGATAATCACTCATCTTAGGATCCTCTGTCACATCCATCATCTCATTTAATCCTTCAGCACTCCACTTTATGGGCAGAGAGGAAAATAGTGGCAGATCTGGGACCAGCACCCAAGCGCTTGATAAAATAGTAATAAGAACTACTGTTCATTGCACATTTCCTCTCTGCCAGGTACTATGCTAAAACTCTGCATACATTTTCTTCTTTAAGCCTAATCACAATGCTGTGAAGTGTTGTCCTCAGACGAGGAGACTGGGGCTCACAGCCATTGAGTGACTTGTCCAAAGACGCCAGCTAGTTCTCAACTGGACCAGTTTGGGCTCAGGGAGTTAATGTACTTGTGCGTTACTTCCTGTGCCCTCGGGTTTCCAGAGTAGCATCACAGATACCTGTTTTCCAGGGATTTGGGGACACAGGCTTCAGGCTTTTCACATGATGATCCCAAAGCACTCTTGTGCAGGTTGAGCAGAAAGCTGGCCTGGGACTGGCAGTACTGCGTGATCCACTGTCCCCTCTCCATGGATGAAGAATATCTACCTTTCCTCTCCCTTCTGGAGTCTCTGAGTTCCTGTCCTTCATGCCCCCAATAAAACACCTTCTGTCTCTCTTGGGCACTTTCCACTTTTTTGGGGGGAGGATGACCTGAATTCTTTCTGGGGACATACAGGAGTGTCCTGAACCCACAGGAATGGGGGGCATCCTCCTTTGCCTCACACTAAGTCCATCCCACCTCCAGTAGAGTAGATTGGATGAACCAGACCAGCTCCTGCTCCCAGACTCTCCCCCTGCCACACAAAGGCAGAGACATATACACTAGCTGACTAAAAGGTCTGAGGTGTGGGTGACATAGTTTGTTTGGGGCATAGTGGGTCCTCTGATGGGTCAGCAAAGACTTCTGGGAGATCCCTGGAGCTGGTCGTGACAGGTGGGCAGGCACTGGGTGGGCATGCCCAGGAAGAAGGGCAGTGCAGAGGAAGGCCTGGCGATTTGTAGATTGAAGTGTTTGTCCCACTGAGGGAACCATGGGACTGGCAGCCAGGTGAGCCCTGCCTGAACTAAGGCCGGTCAGGACCAGAGCTTCAGTGACTCCAAGGCCAGAACAAGGGATTGAACACTATGCAGGAGGAAACAAGGAACCATGATCCGCTTGAAGCAGGGGAAGGATATGGCTCAAGGAGTGGTCTCTGCCTCTTCATCGGGTTCAAGGCCGGTGGTCAGGCTGCTGTCCCTGTGGTTTCTCTTACACACTGTCTCAGGTCCTGTCTGGGCAGTGGTCCTACCTGAGCCTCCCTGAAAGGCCTGGCGGGAGGTGCTGATGGCTAGAGGAAGAAGTCTTAGGGCTGCTCCCAGGAGCACCAGCTCTTGGGAACAGCAGACTCCCAGTACCCCTCCCTCAGTGGAGCCCCGTCCCTGTGCTCCCCTGAACTTCTCCCCGGCCCTCTGCCCTCACCTAGATCATGCCACCATTGCCTTTGTTTGGAGCAGTCCAGTTGACTCTTCCTTGGGTTTCTTGCCTCCAGCTCTGTCCGCTCCTATCTGTGTCCACCTGAGCCTGTTTGTCTGTGTCTTATGGGTGCCTGTGGGACACCAGGGTGACCTCCAAGAGCTGCTGGAGTTCTAGACAGACATCCGGGCTGGAGATCCAGACTTCCGTTATTAGCATATAGATTCTCTCAGATACACATGGGGGGAGGCAGAGATCTTTTTTTTCTCTGACCAACACAAATTTCTCTCTAGATGCAGAGATCTAAATGACATCCCAAAGGCACCTTAAGTCACCCTGACCCAAACAAACCACTCTTTCCACATGTAACCCTCTGATCTTGGTCTAGGCTTCCTGTGTGGGGTTCCTCACTCCTCAACCCAGTCACCCATGACAGACACTTAGTACCATCTTCAGCCTTTCTTCCTCCTCATCCTAACTTCCTTCTGCCCCTGAACATCTCCTTATCTCTCTCCACCTTCCCCCACCTTTTGATGCCATTTAAGAAGGTAAATCACTCATTTCCTTTGCAAACCATTTCTTCCTTCAGCCTTGAAGACACCCCTGCTTCTTATTCATTCCCTCTTTATTGGCCACTACCAAATCTCCCTGCAGACTCCCCTCCAAGAGTATGAATATTTGGGGAGTCCTAGTTCTGTCTTCTTGAGCCAAGTATTTTTCTCTAGTGGGACCTGATGGGGTCCTCATGGCTTCAAGCATGTTACTTCAAGAAGGGGCCTCTCCTCTGAAAAAAATAGGCTTCCCTGTACATTAACTGCTAGTCCGCCATCTCCATGGGTCTCCTAGGCATCTCCACCTTGAATTCCAAGGGCACACTCTTAAGCCCAGCACAGAGAGCAGCAGGAACAGGGATCTCAAACATTGCTAATATTGGCTGCTGTCCCTATTGCCCTTCCTGCAGGCCACATCATCTCTAGCCTGCAACAAGCCTGTCTTGTTTCCCTGCTGCACAGTAGGGAAGGAGGATAATCAGGTAGAGGGAACTCTGCCTGCACAAAGCAGAAAAAGGAGGAAGGAGAGCGAGGTCTGAGTGGCTGGGGTCCCAGATCATGTGACAGGGCTGGGTAGTGAAGACTTAAGTGCAAGGTGCAGGCTTAGTCCTGAGAGCAGGAGGGAACAGACAAAAACCAAGAAGAGTATGCTGGATTTCACATTTCTTTATCCCCTTCATTCCTTCCTTCACTCATTTACTTCATTTATCAACAAATATTGGCAGAGAGTGTTGCTGAGTGGTAGAGCACATGAGGTTCTGGTTTTGATACCCAGAGAGAGAGAGAGAGAGAGCCTTCTATTGGACAGTGACTCTGAGATAGTGGAGAACAGCTAGAGGCAGGAGTAGTGGCAGAGAGACCAGTGAAAAATGATACAGTTCAGCCTGAGTGAAACAAGGGTCTTGCTTAGGGCATTGCTCCTGGAGGTGGAGATGGGGCAAATAACAAGCTGAGATGGCAGCGTAGTAGATCAACCCTGATTCCTGGCTTGGGAAACACAGTGGGAAGTGCTGGTGGGAGGCCTGTACCCAGAGGCAGGGAATGTGCTTTAGGGAATCTAGAAATGGTCTCAGGAGTGGTTTGATATGAGAAAATGGCAAGTAAATGGCTTCTAGTCTAAGAGAATGGCATGTTCAAAGGCCTTGAAGTTGAAGGAAGCCCAGTTCTGAGGAACTGAAAGGCCAGTAGTTCCTTGGGACAAGAAGAAATGAGGGGGATGGGACTGGGAGCTTGATCTTCAGTCTGAGGAGCAAACTGGGAATGGGTCACCAGGAATGTGAGGCCTCCCTTCACAGAAGGTGGAAAGGAGAATTTAAGAAGGGCTGGGAGGGGACACAGATGAAGTGTGTCTTGTGGGGAAGCACTGAAGCATGTCTCTCTGGGAAAAGTCACTAAAAAGAACGCCCAGCCGGATACTTTGGGGTTATAAGAGAAGGAGAGCATCTTTCTTCAGGGTTCTGGGGAAGAGACATATTTCTTTAACATTTAAGGAATTAATTGAGGCCAAAT